GATACAGTTCTTTTTCCATCTCCTTCTCATTGTCAGAAGAAGAATCTAAGTTGTGAGTCTCACGATCTGAGTGTTCGTGCACCTTCTGCTTTCCTTTTGACGTAGTCCTCCGGGAAGACTCGGGTTTTTGCCCTTTTTCAGCGAGAAATTGGACGAACATATCCTTCAATTGGAGAAGTGTCTCCTGTTGTGCCTGGAGCATGGTATGATGTTCATCCACTCTTTTAGCTATGTCCTCGGGATTCGTCGTCATGTAAACAGAAACTTTTTGTGCTCCAACAGAGCTTGAAGATTGAGATTCAGCTATTGCCGAATGTTCATCACTTGTCGTAATCCCTTGGGCTAACCTTTGGTAATTAACCGGGCGGATAGCTCCAGTCCGTGACCGGGTATGTCGATATACCCCTTCGAACTCGTCGCAAATTTCTCGAACGGTCGGGGAATGGCTTCTTTCTGATTCATCGGAACTGGGACACGGGGCTTTTCCTCTACTGGTCATGTTGATGGTAACCTGAGGGTATTCAGCTTCAGAAACTTTCTTCTTTTGACGTCGTCGTTTGGTAGGTCTTGCGACGTCAGTCAATCTGTCGAATACAGATCTGCGAGAATACAGACCTGCGAGACTCAGGCATACAACAATGACATTCGGAGAGGACTGTTGAAATGAGCCGCTCACAATGACATGAATGAGCTGCTCGTTGCATTGGTTTTTCTCTGGAGAGTAACTCTCGCAAATCAGAGACCCGAGGACAATTCTTCATCGGGGATGAAACCTTCTGTCCTTGGATGGGCGAAATTGGTTCTTGTTGAACTTGACGGACCCTATCGCATTCGGGAATCGAGGTACGAGGGTCGTGTTTTGATTTATAAACACTAGGCCTTGGCCTGCGTTTAGTTGATGGAACAGACCCCTTAGAGTCTTGTTTTGTTTGGACGCACTCGTGAGGTGCTTGTTTTCCCTTAACAGGGCTGTGCTTTGATTGGACAACGCACCACTGAGGGTCACGTTTAAGTTGAATCACTCGAGGTATGTAATTGGATTCATTACCTCGAAGTATGCATTCTGGAGTATGAACGCAATGCTTGTGCAAATCTTCGGAAACGCAATCCTTGCGTTGGACTTGGGATTGATTTCCTCGAAGGTGTGCTCGTCGGATGGACCTTCTTCGTCGTCGAGCGGCGTTTTTCTTGGCTTGTTTCAAAGCCTTAACAGCAGCGTCATCGGCGTTGATTGTGCTTTCCTCTGTCATAGGCCTTTTACCACCAAGTACACGATGTGTCGACATAGGCATGGAATCCTCGGCTTGCAAAAGCAAGCTTGAGGCTTTGGCCAAAGGAGAGGGCTTTCTTTGGCGTCTCAACAGTAGTTAAGACCTCTTTAGAGCTCTTGCAAGCACCTCGCCTAGCTTTAGGGCTAAGCGATCCGGAAGAGAGGGCCTCCTCGTATTTGGCTTGGTCAAACTCCACGACCAAGGTTTCTACAGTTGTTCCAGTGAGGTGAACGTCGGATTGCGCCACCACCTCTTCGTGTTTGTGGGAAATTTTGTAATAAAAAGAATATAAGGAAAGAATTGCGTTTGATTTTATTCTCTCTAACTGCTTAGAAAAAGAATGATTACAACTCTCTCAACTCTCGATTACAATTGGATTTTCGATTACAAAAGAGAAGAGAATGATCTGGATTCTCTCCTTTGTTTAATTCTAGGTTCTTCACGGTGGCGATGAGATGCCTCCCTCGAATGCTTGCGTCGAGTTTGCTTCTCGTTGACGATTCGAATATCTATGCTCACTGGAACGACAGTCTTGTCTGGTTGATAACTCTTGATGAGTTTCGTGATTCAGAACCAACAATAAACTCTAGTAATAGAGTTGTTCAAACCGAAAATAATTTGGTTAATAAGCCAAATATCGACGATTTAGAGCTCCTCCGTTTGTTGATTTCCCAGACTGTGTAAGGAGTCAATCCTTTTTCCCTGATTCTGAAAGATCCGATCTCCAAAGTCCAACCCTCGATCTGATTATCAAAAATCCGATCTGAGATGCCTCCCTCGAATGCTTGCGTCGAGTTTGCTTCTCGTTGACGATCCGAATATCTATACTCACTGGAACAACTGTCTTGGCCGGTTGATAACTCTTGTCGAGTTTTGTGATTCAGAACAAGTAACAAACTCTAATGATAGAGTTGTTGGAACCGAAAATAATTCGGTTGATAAGCCAAATATCGATGGTTTAGAGATCCTCCGTTTGTTGATTTCCCAGACTGTGTAAGGAGTCAATCCTCCTTTTTCTGATTCTGGAAGATTTGATCGAAAGATCCCCCTCCGATTAATGAAAAGAAATCTCTCTTGATCTGATTATCAAAAATCCGATCTCCCCCAATCCAAAAAGAGATCTTTTACTCTGTTGAGTTTGTTGCTATTTATAGGGGGATTAGGGGTGTAACTGCCCCCATAATCCGCGCCTAAATGGGGGTTTAGTTACCCCATTAGTCGGGTGTAACAACCCACTAAAGCCACTCCTCAAATCGTGGGTGAAGAACAGCTTCGAAGTTGTTACGATCGCGTTTGAATGAGTCAGAACCTTGACCTGCGTTCTGGCGGCGATTGGAGCTGCGTTCGAGCTGTGCTTGGCAGCGATTGGAGCTGCGTTCGAGCTGTGCTTGGCAGCGATTGGAGCTGCGTTCGAGCTGTGCTTGGCAGCGATTGGAGCTGCGTTCGAGCTGTTGATTGTTGTAGTATTTAGATTTCTCTGTCTTTATATATGGATGACACCAAAGACCAGTAAAGAAGGTCTTATTCAGGCCATTTGTGACAATTGAGGCATCTCAATAACGCTCTATCAACTGCAGGTCATGATCTCCACTGAGTGTGTCGAATATCATTACACTGCTCATCAGCACCTCTAATGGTTGCTAATATAATATTAGTCATGTTGTTGTCGCAGCCATCAAGATCAATCATCTCACATAAGAAGCTGCATTCGTGTTTATAGCGGCGTAGGTGATTGAATCGGTGTAGTGTCTTAATGATGGTACGCGGGGAGGACTTCCACGTCTTGGTTTGAAGAGGTCGTTGATTTGTAATCCCTTTCTGTCAGAGTATTGCTAAAGACTGTTGTTTTGTAATCTTTGCTTTAACTCTTTGACATGTGAAAATCTTCGAATTGTAGCCTTCTGGAAGTCGTCAGATTGTAACTTCCATCATCAGTGTTCGATGGAGACTCAGCTATCTATTGTGATTTTTAGACAGCCTACAATATGCAAAGATCGTTGATCACTAAACCGACTGATTTATGGAGGGAAGTCCTGAGAGATAATGGAAGAAGATGTTCCATAATAATATGGTGATCATGACTCTTCAACCCTTCGATCTTGCCTTTAACAATCTTTATCTTCTTACTAAATGATCCAGAAAACCCCGTAGAAACCTTCAACTCATGTAACACCTAAAGGAACTTTTTTTTCATCTGGTGACATATGATACACGACATTAGGGAGTACAAACTGGTCTGGATTACATGCCTTTGGTATAGGATGCAACTCTTTTCTAATGTTCCACGCCTAGAGATCCCTTCGAGCTTTGAGGTTATCTTTTGATTTTCCATCTTTACAGAGAAGTAAGTTAAGTATGTGCTCAGATACTCCTTTCTCAATATGCATGATGTCTAGATTGTGCCGCACTTTATTTGTCTTCCAGTAGGGTAGTTCGAAAAATATACTTTTCTTGTTCCACCCTTGTGGTGTTTCTTGTCTTCCCTTAACTTTTTTCGAAAGTCTTGTTGTTTTTACTATTCCACTGAGCAAGTATATCCTCTCCGGATAATAGGTCTGGACGCGGGCATTTCTCTTTAGTACCATCAAAGTGGATGATGTCATCTCTGTACGGATGATTTTCATCCAACATGCGCCGATGGCCACAATAACATGTCTTTTTACTAAAGGGTAGCCTTCTCGATGTTGTCTGGAGATGACAGTAAGGACATGCAGTGTAACCATGTACAGACCAACCAGATAGCATTCCATACGCAGGAAAATCGTTGATTGTCCACATTAAGGCTGTACGCATGGTGAAGTTTGTCCCCGTGTCTGCATCGAACGTCTCCACACCATCGATGAATAAAGATCTTAACTCTTCGATAAGAGGTCGAAGGTAGATGTCAATATTGTTTCCCGGTGACTTAGGACCATCAATAAGAAGAGGCATCATGAAATATGATTGGTCCATAGCCAACTATGGTGAAAGATTATAAACCATCATCACAACGGGTCATGTGCTGTGGGGATTGCCCTTAAAGCTAAAGGGGCAAAAGCCATCACTAGCCAATCCCAGCCTAATATTGTGAGGTTCCTAACTAAATGTTGGGTGCCTATTGTCAAAATCCTTCCATGCAGGTGTATCTCTAGGATGACTCATTCGTCCATTTTCACTTAGACGTGCACGGTGATGCCAAGTCATTGCCACTGCTGTCTTCTTACACTTGAATAACCTCTGCAGCCTCTGTGTTATGGGAACGTATTGTACTATCTTGATAGGTATATCTTTCTTCTGACCATGTACTTTCTTCTTATATCTAACCTCTCCGCAAGTAGGACACTCTATCTTATCTGAATGTTCTTTCAAGTAAATTATACAATCATTAGGATATGCATTTATCATCTCACACTTCAGACCCAGATTAGACATTATCTTTTGAGCTTCGTACCAGCTCTCAGGCACATGGTTCCCCGGAGGCATAGAATCTTTAAGAAACTTGAGGAGCATCATAAATGACTTGTTGCTCCATTTATTTAGACATTTAATCTAGAATAGATGGACGAACCATGACAGCGTGAAGTGTTTTGTACTCTCATAAATGGGCCTCCTAGCATCATTCATGTATTTATCATAATTGTCTTCACGATGTCCTCCTCCAAAAGGAAGATCTTCAGCACGGTTAGTATTACCAAGAGCTACCTCAACCATTTCCTCTATTTCCTCATCGATAAACAAGTTGTCTTCTTCTTATTCTTCTTCATCTGCATCACTGAAACCTTCAATTTCTCCATGATATACCCAAGTTTTATAATCTCTAACAAAACCATTCTTCATAATATGAAGTTCTACTTCTTCCTCCAATTGATGCAACTTATTCACACATAATTTACATGGACAAATGAGTCTCACATATCGGACTATATCGTGTCTACGTACAAAGTCCATGAAAACACTAACTCCATTAACGAAAATAGATTGCATATGTTCTGCACGACCCGCGTACATCCAATCCTTATCTCTGATGTAGTTACGGATCATGCTAACCTAAACAAAATAATTTATTAGTAACGATCTCTAAAAATATGGATTTAGGGAATAAGCAAAGCATGATAATGACTTTGCTTCAAATAGTGTTACAATTAAAAGCCAAATTAGTTTAAACATGTTCATTTTATTAAATAAAATAGAAAAAAATGTAAATATTATATAAATCATGAGGTATTAATGTAACCTACTTTTATGCGTGTTGCTCGTACCTTGTCTGTAGATCTAATTGATCCATCTAACCTTATTACTCAAACCTACTTTTATGCGTGTTGCTCGTACCTTGTCTGTAGATCTAATTGATCCATCTAACCTTATTACTCAAATCATTCTGTTATTGACTCTTCTATAAATATATAAATGATTATACTTATTACAATGTATATCACAATGTGTACCCCCTATAAATTATAACTTTGTTTGTATTCTCTGCTTGTACTAACTTTGTAATAATTTTCTGTGCATGTGATTTAATTTATTATAAACCTTGATTTGCTTAATGATTGATGTAGTTTATGCTAATATATTTAAATGAGTATTTATCTATCTTGCAATGTGAATTTACAATTATTCGTGACTTGCGTACAAATCTGTGATATCTTAGATATATAATATGTATGCTACTTGTACAAATAATATACTACAATATGTTTATTAAATCTATGTACGCTATCAGCAAGCAGCTTTTCACAAATAATCTAGAATAGAAATTGGAGGAACATTATTCCACTAAACATCATTTTTAAAATAAGTAGACAAATCTTTTATCAGATGAAGGAGCTAATGGAGAAGGTAAATTTCTATAATCAGATATGGAAATTGGCTGCTGAGGAGAACTGGTTCCAGAAGTTTCTTATAGAAAATCAAATTCCATTTATCTATTGATTACCAAACATTATGACATATTGTTCAGAGTTGAGAGCTAATTCATTTCTGTTATGCATGTCCAAAATTTTTTCCCAGAAAACTTATAATCTTTAATAAACATAATCACATATTAAAATATATGCTTCAAAATTCAATAATCATTTAAAAAAACTTAGGCTTAGGATTTTGTAGAGAGGAGATAATAATAATTTACAGAGTGGATGTAGGGGGCCTGATCGAGGATGAGGCGGTGGAGGAGGATGCAGTGGAATCGAGAGGCGGTGGAGGTGGAGGTGGTGGAGGAGGATGCGCTGGAATCGAGAGGCAGTGGAGGAGGAGGCGTAGAAGCAAGTTCCCCAGCGAGAGCCGGTGGACGACAGTGTCGGCAAAGATGCGACGAGAAGCGCGTTGGCCGGCGGCCGCGATCGGACTTCGACGATGAAGACTCGAGGGCTGGGGAGATTGGAGGTGCTGCGATTTTAGGGATTTTATTCGGGGGAAATATCGTGGGTTAGTTTTGGGGAGAATGGGGGAAGCATCAGTGTTTGTTGACCATCGCAAAACTCCCAAACGGTTGTAACCGTTTGGGATAATTATCCCAAATGGTTACAACCATTTGGGACTTCCGTATGGGCTTTTTTAAAGCCCTAAACGGTTTAAACCGTTTGGGATAATTATCCCAAATGGTTTAACCCGTTTGGGCTATCTTGATTTGTCCAAACTGTTCAAATAACTATTTGGACAGACCAATTTGTACTAGTGTATGCTAAAACTTCATATGTGTTATAAGGATTGAGCATTATAATTTGCAACAACAACAATAACAACCAAAATGTCTTCATCCCAAATATTTTGGGTCAACTATATAAATCCTATGCTTCCACCCATATTTGTTTAGGACTATCTACTCCACTAAGTTGACATATCCTCTTAACAACTTCTACCCATGTTCTCTTCCCTATCTTTAGTTCTCCTTTCTCCATTAAGCTAATCATTACCATATTCTTATTATAATTTATATAAACATGTGTGACCATTACTATTTGATCCTAGATTGTTATGATATCATCTAGAGTCCGAAACTATAGTGAGGATCAGTTGCAATTTTATACTCTTAATGGAAAATAAACAATATAATCGGCCTTTTTAAATTTTGGTGTATGTTAATACATTTTAGTTGAAGTTAGAAAAATGTGCTAAGAACAAAAGTATTCTTTTACGAAGGTATACATTAAGGGGCTATTTGGCTCATTTCCTAGATATAGGGAAATGCAATTTCAAGTAAAGAAACTCAAGTTTTGAGTTTTCTAAACTTTTCCAAGAAATTGATTGTTTTGGTTTGGTTCGCATGTAAAATATGGTGGGAAACCAATGTATTTATTTTTCTTGTGTTTGGTTTGCATGGAAAAAAAGGAAAAACTTTTGTTGATTTGACATTTCCCACTTTTTTTGTGTTTGGTTGGTGTTAAAGTGGGTAGGAAAAAGTATTTATGGTTACCATGATAAGATTACCTTCATTGTAGATAAACACAAGAAGTTAGAAATAACACTAGCTGGAAGTTAGAACTAACTGGCATCAGCTAGAACTAACACGAGAGCCACTAGAACTAACATGGACTCAACTAGAACTAATATACTACTAGAACTAACGCTTATATTAGAAATAACACTAGCTGAAAGTTAGAACTAATATGACATCAACTAGAACTAAAGCGATAGCAACTAGAACTAACGCGAGAGAAACTAGAACTAACATACCACTAGAACTAGCGCTTATATTAGAAATAACACTAGCTACAAGTTAGAACTAACACGACATCAGCTAGAACTAACACGAGAGCCACTAGAACTAACATGGGCTTAACTAGAACTAACAGACCACTAGAACTAACGCTTATATTAGAAATAACACTAGCTGGAAGTTAGAACTAATACGACATTAGCTAGAACTAACACGAGAGCCACTAGAACTAACAGAGACTCAACTAAACCTAACAGACCACTAGAACAAACGCTTATATTATAAATAACACTAGCTGAAAGTTATAACTAATATAATATCAAATAGAACTAACACGAGAGCCACTAGAACTAGCAGGGGCTCAACTAGAACTAACATACCACTAGAACTAACGTTAATATTAGAAATAACACTAGCTGGAAGTTAGAACTAACATGGCATCAGCTATAACTAACACGAGAGCCACTAGAGCTAATAGGGACTCAGCTAGAACTAACATACCACTAGAACTAACACTTATATTAAAAATAACACTAGCTATAAGTTAGAACTAATACGACATCAGCTAGAACTAATACGAGAGCTACTAGAACTAACATGGGCTTAACTAGAACTAACAGACCACTAGAACTAACGCTTATATTAGAAATAACACTAGCTGGAAGTTAGAACTAATACGACATCAGCTAGAACTAACACGAGAACCACTAGAACTAACAGGGACTCAACTAAAACTAACAGACCACTAGAACAAACGCTTATATAATAAATAACACTAGCTGAAAGTTAGAACTAATATAACATCAGATAGAACTAACACGAGAGCCACTAGAACTAACAGGGGCTCAACTAGAACTAACATATCACTCGAAGAGAACAATTATATTAGAAATAATACTAGTTGGAAGTTAGAACTAACACAACATCAGCTAGAACTAACACGAGAGCCACTAGAACTAACAGGGGCTCAACTAGAACTAACAGACCACTAGAACTAACGCTTATATTAGAAATAACACTAGCTGGAAGTTAGAACTAATACGACATCAGCTAGAACTAACACAGGAGCCACTAGAACTAACAGAGACTCAACTAAAACTAACAGACCACTAGAACAAACGCTTATATTAGAAATAACACTAGCTGAAAGTTAGAACTAATATGACATCAGATAAAACTAACACGAGAGCCACTAGAACTAGCAGGGGCTCAACTAGAACTAACATACCACTAGAACTAATGCTAATAGTAGAAATAACACTAGCTGGAAGTTAGAACTAACACGACATCAGCTATAACTAACACGAGAGTCACTAGAGCTAATAGGGGCTCAGCTAGAACTAACATATCACTAGAACTAACACTTATATTAAAAATAACACTAGCTACAAGTTAGAACTAATACGACATCAGCTAGAACTAATATGGGAGCCACTAGAACTAACAGAGGCTCAACTAGAACTAACATACCACTAGAAGAAAGTAATTATATTAGAAATAACATTAGATGCAAGTTAGAACTAACACGATATCAGCTAGAACTAACAGGGGCTCAACTAGAACTAACAGGGGCTCAACTAGAACTAACAGACCACTAGAACTAACGCTTATATTAGAAATAACACTAGCTGAAAGTTAGAACTAACATGACATCAGGTAGAACTAACACGAGAACCCCTAGAACTAACATGGGCTCAACTAAAACTAACATACCACTAGAACTAATGCTTATATTAGAAATAACACTAGCTGGAAGTTAGAACTAACATGACATCAGTTAAAACTAACACGAGAGCCACTAGAACTAACATGAGCTCAACTAGAACTAACATACCACTAGAACTAACAGGAGCTCAACTAGAACTAACATACCACTAGAACTAACATACTACTTTCTGTGGTATGAATGTCATATCGTATTGCGAGAGCAGTATCGCCTATTTTGCTAACCTGGAATTTAGTGACCCAAATTTCATCATGAATATCCATAGAGGATTGACTCTTGAAATGATGTGAATAGGTTGGCTGGTAAGGTAGTGCCACATCTTCTGAACCGTAAAGACTAATGCTTAACATTCTTTCTTGACTAGGTTGTATCGATGCTTGGTGCTAATCATAGTCCGGCTGAGGTAGTAAATAGCTTACTCATGGCCATTATCATTCTTCTAGGTGAGAAGTGCTCCGAGTGAATGGTCCATTGCCCAAACATAGATCAGGAGTAGTTTACCCGATACTGGTGTGACTAAAACTGATGGCTTCGTGAGATAACTCTTGATCTCATTGAAAGCTTCTTACCAAGTGTTGTCCTAGACGAACAAAACACCTTTCTTCATGAGTCTTTGAAATGGTTGATATTTTTGAGATAAATTTATGATAAACCTTTGGATATAGACTAATCGTCCTTATAGACCTCTAAGCTTTTTGAGATTCCTCGGAGGTGGCATCTCTTGGATAGCTTTTACATTTTTGGGGTTGACATGTATTCTTGTGGATGTTACAATAAACCCTAGGAATTTGCCTGATGATACCCCCAGGAAGTATTTGATTAGATTCATCTTGAGTTGGTGTTTCGGCATAATTTTGAACACTATTCTTAGATCACCAATGTGATCCTATTTGTGACGACTTTTGATTGCAAGGTCATCAATGTAGCACCCCACTGTCTTGCGCAAATGTTCCTAAAAGATCGTATTCATAACATATTGATAAGTAGCTCTAGCATACTTCATACTAAAGGGCATTACTGTATAACAGAATACTCCTAAAGGTGTTCTGAAGGCTGTGTGCTTATAATTATCTGGATGCATTTTGATTTGGTTGTATCCAGAGAACCCATCCATGAATAATATCCTCTTGAACCCGCACTTATTATCAACCATAACATCCTTGATAGGGAGAGGAAATTCATCCTTCGAACAGGTGAGATTAAGATCTCGGAAATCAATATAAATCTGGATCTTGCCATTCTTCTTCATCACTACCATGATGTTGGCTAGCCAATCGGAATGTCGTTCTTCAAGTATAAACCCACGTTCAATGAGTTTATGGATTTTCTTCTCGATCTGCTCCATCAACTTAGGATGGAAGTGTCATTGTTGTTGCTTGACCGGCTTAACGCTAGGGTTAATATCAAGATGATGCACAGCCACGTTGGGGTCTAGACCTAGAATGTCTTCATAGCTCCAGACAAAGACATCAATGTACTCTTAAAGGAGAACTATAAGTTACTCCTTTTCAGTAGATAATAAACTTTTGCTAATAAAAATGAGCTTCGGGTTGATTTCATCACCTATGTTGATTTGAACCACTTTATCTTCAGTGGGTGATTCTTCGACTTTGAAACATGATACGGTATAAACATGTACCAAAAATTTGTAAGTACACAACCGTGTTAAGTTATAGTATAAAAAGTTATCGATCCCACGATGAAGGTGTTTTGTAGGAGAAAATATAAATCGGTTCTTATGTTGTGTGCGTGACAAATAGGAGTGAAGAATAAGTGTGATTGTGGAGAGATGGAGAGAATGAAAATAATTATGTAAATGAATATATTTGAGAGTAGAAGTGATAAAAAAAATAAATGTGATCAACAAGGCAAGAAGGAAAAAATCAAAAAACAAATAAGAATCAAGAATGAAAAATAAAATTTAAGAAAGTAAAGATGGTGGATTCAATTAAAGATATGGGTACTCTAAAATTGAACCCACTTCTTAGAAAATGGTGATTCCCTAGAGGGTTCTAGCCTAAAGGCGAATCAAAAAAAATAAAAATAAACAAAAAAAAAACTAAACCCAAGAGGGTTCTAGCCTTAAGGTGAATAGTATAAGAAATTAAAATCTAACTACAAAATAAATTATAAAATCTAAACTACAAAATAAATTGTAAGCATTAAATACAAGAAAATAAATCCAACCTATAAGCATGAAATAAATCTAAGGCAAGAGGGTTCTAGCCTCTTGGCTATTTAACAAGAAAATAAAATCTTACTACAAGCATAGAAATAAATCTAAACTAATAAACAATAAAAAGGAAATAAAAGAGAAAAATAAAAGAAATACAAACCTCCAAATAATTCTTCATCTCCATCTTCATCATCCAACAAAGAAAAGAATATTTAAAGTAGTAAAAAAATTATTTTATTAATTATAACAAAAGTTACAAATTTGGAAGGCCTTCTCAATTAAGAGTGACTCTCCTCTCCAAATAGAGTTACAAAAAATTTCACAACCTCAACCCCTCACTCTCTACCCCTATTTATAGTAAATAATAATGAGTGAGAGCCCTTGGATGAAGACTAAAGCCCTAAGTAATCATTTTTACCCTTTGAGCTTTTGAGCTTGGATTCTTGGGCCTTTTGCTTGTTTTCTTTATTAATTCAATGGACTTTTGTTGAAAGAAGAGATCTTGGGCTTTATTCTTCATTAACCTTAAAATTCTTCCCATAATTACTTCTCCAGCACAGAAATTCAGATTGTGCTTCTTTGTACGAATATTTGTTCATGATATGTTCTGATTTCAGAGATATCATAAATACAAAAGTTATAGATCTCGTTCTCAGCTTTCCAGAGAATGCTTATTCAGCCAATTCCGAGTTAATATGAGAGAAATATGATCAAAACACCAAACATTACCGAAATGTCCAGATTGTATGATTTGTTTCCTTTTTTACAAAACTTCTTCATTTGTTCCTTGATGGTATATTTATTTTTCTTGGGCTTTTGGGCTTGGACTTTTAGGCTTGTTGCTTGTATTCTTTATTAAATCTTTAGGGCTTTTGTTGAGAGAAGTGATCTTGGGCTTTTATTCTTCATTAACCTGCAATTAAAAGATAAAAATAATTATTAGTGGTGTATTTATTCATTAAAAATAGATAATAAGGATATAAAATTGTAATAAAAATATGATTATCAAATACCCCCACACCTAAACTTTTGCTAGTCCTCTAGCAAAGAAAGAAAAAAAAGAAAACCTAACTCACTTTCGTAGGAATCGCGGTTGTATTTAGCGCATACAACAAGCCTTTAAACCTCTAGGTTACGCTAGTGGACGAGTTGTAGTCTCATGAGAGTTTACAGTGAATATACCCACAAAATTTAGTCATCTTGCCAAATTAAAGAAGTTAGTGAATAACTAAATTTACTTGATAATTTTAGACAATCTAATTGAAGCTAGTTATTACTCAAGAAAACGTTTTTATAAATAACTCTAAGGTAAATTTCCTAGAAAATCTTCTTATTATAGCAATACAAAACCAAGTCAAACTTAGAAATTTAATTTTAAAGTTTTGAAAAGAACATGCTAACTCTTTGTTTTAAATAATTTTCAAATATATATAACATTTAATAATATTTTTTTTATTTTTTTTATTTTTTAACTCTTTCTTCCTTGGTGATTTTTTCTATTTTACGGGCTTTCTAAGTGACCATTTAACGAGTTTTGGGCCAATGGATCCCAACCCAATTGGGCTTAGGTTATTAAGTGATACAGGTGTATCTTCTCTTCGGAACTTAGCGATCCTCATGGAAGCTTGAGGATAGGTGATTTTCATAAAAATATGAGAATAGAGGTGTCAAACAGTACAGGGGAACGTAGGTTGGAGCGAGGAACAAGGCAGAGAATCGAAGAGTTAAAGTATCCAGATTTTAGCCTGTGAGTCGACTCATACATGTACATGAGTCGACTCATCAGGTTGAGTTGACTCATGACTGACATGAGTCGACTCACGAAACCAAGCCTAGTTCTCAGTTCGTCTCTGACAAGTCGACTCATCAGTTATGAGTCGACTCATATGAGGTCATGAGTCGACTCATCTCAGTTATGAGTCGACTCATTGCTGGTTTTCGTGTTTTGTCCAGTTTCGGATGAGTCGACTCATCTCAGTCATGAGTCGACTCATCGGAGTTTTCCAGATTCGTTAAGGACTCTTTTTACATGTTTTCCTGTTTGGGTTTGGTTTGGTTATTTACCACTTTGCCACCCTCGTTTGTACACATATATAAGGGATTGTTTTAGGGTTTAAAACAATTAGAGAGTTTAATCAAGAGAGATTAAAATTGTAATTGAGATTTGGAGAGCTTGTTCTTCAATTCTAGAGTGAGATTGTGAGAGATTGTAAAGTGTATACTCATAATCTAGAGAAGGTATTTTCCTTCGCCCAAAATCTGAGTTATTCTTGTGTTTCTTATTGTTTTCTCCACAACCCATCTTTGATAATTCCGCAATCAAAGGTGCTCATACGGCAACTCGTATTAAGTTGGTATCAGAGCATCAGATCCGATGAAGGGGCATCCTGTGTATGGTCCTTACTCGATCACAGTATAAGAAGCTTGGCGAGATCCTTATTTCCTTGGAAGAAGTCCAGAAGATAAGGAAGGAGAAGATGTCTGAAGCAGATAACTCAGCAAGACTTGACGCTATGGAGAAGCAGATAGAGACGATCGGGACTACTCTTACTCAGCTCGTGGGTCTCATCAATGGAGGGGACAAAAAGGAGGGATCTTCTTCGAAGGGTAAGAAGAAAATTGTTGAGTCCGATGAAGAACGCGAGGAATCAGATTCGGAAGAAGAGGCCGAGGTTGTTAAGTCTGCTTCACATACAGGGGGTAATAATTATTACCAAAACTTAAAGATTAATTTCAAAGTAGAGATTCTTGTCTATGATGGGAGTGTCAATGTGGAGAAGCTCGATGATTGGATTGAGCGTATGGAGATGTACTTCACTCTCTACGGATATTCATCCAAGGAGAAGATCGTGTTCGTGACGTTGAAGCTTTCGGGCCACGCGTTGACGTGGTGGAAGTCCTATTGCAAGTAGGAAAAGAAGCCGACGTTGTGGAACAAATTCAAGGAGCTACTGAGGAAGCAGTTCTATCCTGTGGGGTTCCTCGAAGAGCGTTGGTACAAGTGGTACGGCTTGCGCCAAAGATTCAATCAGACCGTTTGGTTCTAAACATCACAACGGATGAATACTCCATTTTCATGAAATACATGGCGGGTCTGAATGATTATATTCGGAAGGAAATGAAGCTGTTCATGGTTGAGACGATTGCAGAGGCGAGCATGAAGGCAATTGCCATTGAGGGCAAATAGAAGAAGGGCAACGAAACGAAGGGTGATTCCAAACAGTCGGGAGGCAAGTCTAGTGGCTCTCAACATAAGGAAGAGAAGAAGAATGGTGATTCAGGAAAGGCAAGATTGACATGCAATCACTACAAGCAGATAGAGCACGTGGCTGATCGTTGCTGGGAGAAGTACCCTCATCTGAAGCCGAAAGGGTTGAAGAAGAAAGAGGAGAAGAAAGCATACGTGATAACGTAGGGTCCGAAGGAGGTTCCCGGAATAACAGAGCCTAACAACAGCCTCAACCTTATGGCAGGGAAACAGGCCGCGAAAGAAGACGACGACCTGAGGGAGCATCTCTTTGTTTTGAAGTTGCAGGTCAAGACCAGCTTGGTGGATGCCATTGTAGATATAGGGAGTAAGAAAAACCTGATATCTAAAGTATTAATACAGAAGTTAGGATTAAAGATGGTGACATCCGAAGCCTTATCCATTAGGGTGGATTCAGAAGGAAGCGGGATTGAGTGTGGTGAACTAGTGTACGTTTAGATTTGCACTCCACGAGTCGTATATTGACGAGGTCACATGCGACGTGGTTCCGCTAGATGTTTGCCAAGTTATTTTGGGTAATCCGTACTTGTGGGATAGACACGTGGTATATGATCGGCAGACCCAAAAGTATACGTTCACCAAGGATGGCGCGCAATTCATTTTTTGTTCGGCATTTCTTTCGCAGGAGACGAGTTTGGTGACGGTGACTCAGGCTTAGAGGTTGGTGAATGCGGGCAGGAGGTTCGTTTTGTTGTTCATTCGGCCTTATGAAGAGCAGCTGAGTAGGATATGCTTGTCCACCTTGAGCAAGCTTTAGGAGGGGGATCTTGATAGTTTGAAGGCCAAGTATGCGGATTTTTTTTCGGAGATCACG